TGACCACATTTGGTTCATTCTGCTCCATTTTTCTACTTGCAATTTGCATAGTAGATTCTGTTCTCTTACATTTCCTTCAAAAATACTGTATTGAAATGTAGAAACATGTTCTCATCCTGACTTACAGTCTAAGCAGCTGAGCACATTAAATAAAAAACTCCTTTCACAGCAGCTATTTTGTGGGTATTATGCAAGATGTTCTGTGCTTTGATGTAACAACTTCTAAATAAAGTAAATTGCAACATGAATTTATAGCAAAACTTTATGCACTTAGTCAGTAAAACATATTGGAGGTGGGGAAGAGAGCAAGCTGTTGTAAACTCCTATAAAGTACAGAAAACTTCTACTTTCCCTCCATTCTAACAAGTGTAAAACTATTGAGGTTAAGTAGGTGGGGCAACCGGAAGTAATTGCTAAGGCCAGTGGCATTTTTGTGGTTTAATAAAGGCAGAAGCTAATTATTCAGTTTTTATTTAAGTGAAATGATGCCAAAAAGGAGGTTCCTGCAGAGCAGCTGCACTCCTTCAATGTTACCCTAATTTACCACAGACACAACTGTCACAAACAGAACTTTTAAATTTGATATATAGCCACGAAAGTAAGGAGCCCTTTGTCTGGAATGCATGCAGAAGAACTCCTTTATACAAATCAACCGGCAGATGACGGACAATGATGAAAATTTGATTCTTTGAAGTCATAATGGTCATTGAAATGTGTGAAATTCTGGTATTGAAAAGAGAGCAGCTAGCAAGACTCTAAATCCTGGGTGGTTGCTGGAAGCTTGCTGGGAGGTTTTTCTGTGTTTTGACATCAACTTCCCATTGCTTGTTCCCTGTTTCCTTTATTAAAAAAAAAAAAGAGGGGGGTGCTAAACTGTAGATAGTTAATAGTGGTTATGTACAGTTTCTGTCTATGTGGTGAAAGAAATGCCATAGAACAAACATGACACCTTTATGCACACCTCACCCGTCTATTCAAAAAAACTTGTTTCAGAGATACTTTCCATCATTTTGTCTCTTTTCCGTTAATTAGAGAGTTCCATTTCTTTTCCCCTTTGGAATTTGTGCTATTAGTGGAGTACTTAAAAGAAGGAAATTCTCATTTCCTTTAAAAGTCATCTTCATGCTGCATAGTGCTTTCATTGACACTGCCTCTGTGAATCAGTTTTTCTCTCTGCTGTGTAGCACACTTATCATTTCTTATTACCCTTTTCAGATCAGTTTTAGCAGACTTTCCACCGTGACAAATATTCTTAAATAGTGTAAGTTATAATAAACACAAACCCACCTATATTTGTAAGCAATTTTATGTGATTTCTGTCGTTTAAAATAAAAAGTGTTTTGTCCCTTTCAGCTAATTCCAAGAAGAGACAAAATGCCTCAAAGTGAGTGTTTACATTTTCTTGTATTGCAAAAAAAAATTCTTGAATTACAAAATTTTCTTGAATTACAAAAAAAATCAGTTTCCTCTTGAAATAACGCTCACTTTATATACATACATTTATATTAAGAAAAACAGAATGTCAGAATGCACCTTTTATGTGATAGCCTGTTTTAAAAATGTGAATCAGGGTTATTAATTTTTAGTAAAGCAAAATACAGTTCAAATCTCAAGTCTTTTATATTGTCATCTAGTATATTTAAGATTTTGAATGCTGAACACCTCACTAGTGTCTTAATATGCTAATATAGCAAAATTCATTAAGGAACATTTAAAGAAAAAAGATAGTAATGTGAAAACCAACCGTCAAAAATATCTTTGTTTTGGAAAGTTGGTTCACAGGTAGTTTCAATGAGAACTTGAACTCAGAACAAAGCACTGAAGACCCAGTAAAGGGTTCAACCCAGTGCTGCATAGTTCTTTTCAAGTATTATATTGTTTTAATGGCATCTTGGAGCGGGAGCTTTAGCCCATTGAAATGTCGCTTAAAGGACAGGTTCTTCTGTCACTAGCTGGAGCTGTGTGGATGAAATGATCACAATAGAGTGTTGTAATGCATTTTAAAAGTGTGAGAAATCAGTTTGTCTAGACTAAGAGTACGCCTACAGGGAATAGGAATTTTAGAGCTTCTGTGCTCTTTAGGTGTCAAGTATGTGATAGATGCCAAGCTTTTTTATTCCATATCTTTGGAAACAGCTCAGCTATGCTACAGTACCTTACATATCTACAGCAAGCAAAACCAGTGATTTTATGTCAGGACAACTTGGGCTTCAGCAACCAGAAACTCATTGTCCTAACGACTGTCTGTTCAATTGCCAGCTTTTAAAAAGGGGAAGATATCAATAAATGATTGCTAGATTCCCAGAAGGCATGGAAACTCTAACTATAATGAATCTAAGTATGGAGAGCTAGCAACACCACATGGATATTTAGTTTTGGGAAGCAGACAGGTTTTAATTTTTATTTTGAAAAGATTTTTATGGGATGAATCCTGTATTATTACTGAAATAACCTTGATTTGGAGCCAACTGAATGCCTGAAAAAACATGGCTTGAAGGGTTTGTCTGGGATTTTGGTTTTAGTTTCATCCAGATGAACAAGTCTAGGCATTTCTTTACTATGGTTACCTCATAAATATAGCATTTGTTGGTTTTAACCCTCTCTTTAGATTGTGTTCTGTATGCACTAATATGTAGTACTTTTATGATTCTCTGGTGTGAAGGCTTCAAAAGAGGAGACTGTATGTGTCCATAATATTACTTAACAGAGTATCGTGTTTCAGTAAATCAGATCATTCTGGAAGAATTGAAAAACCTCTAAATCTCAAGCATGAAGAAATTTATAATGGACTTTCAAGTTGCTGAGAATAATAATAGTAAAGAAAAAATAATTTTGAGATATATTGAAGTTTGCATATCTGAAAGTATTTGATAACAACCCCAGAATTTTTGCATGTAGCAGATTGTTTGAGAGGGGAAAAAGAAATGTTTTGTCAATAGTATTGTATATTCTCAATAGTCATTGTTAAATACAGAAATAGAAGCTAATATTTTAGTGTATTCCTCTATATAGGCAAGCTGAAGCATTGAATCCCTACCAAACTTTACTGCAGGTAAAAACCCCTTTTTGTTAAACAAAGCACTTTGCCAATTCAAATCAGAAAACTTTAAGCAATTTCTTTCTAAACCTGTGGTTTAGGCTTAAGCAGTGAGAAATGCCAGTCTATCAGAAGGTATTTTACATATGTGTTGCAACATTCCTGTGGCTGGTAGTGCTTCTGTTTCATATCACTGCTAGACTTGGATTAAAAATAAGCATGACTTGGTTCTAATGAAAGTATTTATAATGGAATTATTAAGATATTTTGACAGTTTCTTGTGGTAGTCTGGGTAGAAATGTCGGAAGCTGGAAAACCCATATGCATGCTTATTTGTTGCCCCTACAGTTGTAATTGCAAATACAAGTCATATGCTTTAAATTGCTCCCTTTTGTAGCTTTGAGGGACTGATCTCCCAAAATTCATTTTCTGACATAAAATGGAAAATGAGAACTGCCACATTTCAAAGGATGGTCTTGTGATCACATCAAGAAGTTTTTTAACTTTACCACAAAACAAAATCCCATAAAGTTAGTAGGTACAGTTATGTAAAGTCACAGTGTTTTATTTAAAGTTTTTTGCCTTTTCATTCAAGTCATGGCAGTGCTGCCAAGATGAGTTCAATATACCCAAAGTTGTGCTGCACTTTTCTGGACTTTTACCAGTTTACTGCTTGTTCCTGGAGAGAGAGAAGGAGAGGGGAGGGCTGGGAGGGAGACCAAGGAGCTCCTGCTGGCCTTTTAAGTATGTAAGGAAAAGGAACAGTTCAGCTTCCTTAGAGATGGATTTGATGTTTGATTTCACTCTTTACTAGTGTGAACTGACAGGTTAATTTTGTATAATTACTGTTTAGTTTTTAGCAAGAATGTTCACTTTAATTATATCAGATGCTGATGAGGGTAATTTTTCACAGCAATTCTTGTGAGGCTTTTCCCTATCTTATTCTTTGTTAAAGTCAGTTAATATTTTTAGGCTGGTTTTGTGATGCTTCGATTTTTATCTTTATAGGTTTATTTCTGGAGGCCCTCAGCAAGGCTTATGCCTCTCTAATGGAGGGGGGCATCCTACTACTGCCTATATACAATGTTACAAGTCTCTTTTTTTTCTTTGAAGGTTGGAATCTCCTGAATCCTTTTGTCCTTCACAAAAATACTGAAGAATGTTATCAGTATCAAATGTTCCTCTCTTGATCTTGACCATCAGCAGAAGAACTGACTCTCAAAAGCTGATAGTCATAGCTTGAAACATGAAGAGGGGATCAATTTTCTGTAATAACTACTGTCTAAATAAGCGAGCTGAATTCTAATACGTGCTCTGCAGTCTCAAACAGTCAATATTCTGTTGTGTAAAAGATACTACCGTCTGTCTCTTCCTTCATGCTAAGCACAGCTTCTTGAGTCAGCATGGATGTTGGTATTTCTTAATTATATACAGAGTTAAGCCCAAGGGAAAGCACTTATACTGCAGCATCTATTTGACTGACTAGTATTTTGGTGAATAGTCCTGTTCATATGAAGTTTAGGCTCCTAATGGTAATGTAAAATTTGGAATTTGTTGATGTTTCAGTCTGTGCTCTGATATTTTCTTTAAGGAATAAATAAGAGTTTACACATATCTGCATTTGCTACAGCTGGTGCAAGTTGAGGCAGGCCTGACCTTGCAGCTGTGGACGGAGAAGGATGTGGGGAAATGTCCTGTCCCTCCTCTGGCAGTAGATGTTTTGTAGCTGGGAGATGAGCAGGTTCAGGTAACTTATCCATGCAAAGTCTAATTCAGCCAGGGGAAGTAGGATGATAGCAGCCTCAACATCTCTCGGCTTCACTTTTATTTTACTGAACTCGTAATGTACTTCTATGCAATTTTTTTCTGGTTTTGTAACTTTATGTAAAAGGCATAAGGAATACTATTTTACAAGCCTCTTACGTAAACCATTTTTTAACAAGTCCCATTATGTTTTTCTTAGGATATCACTGCTTTAACTGGTGTTCCAGATGAGCACATCAAAACCAGAAAAGTTCACATTTTTGTTCCAGCACGTAATGCAATGCAGTCAGGACTTAACAATACAAAGAAATGGAAGATGGAATTTGATAACAGGGAGCGCTGGGAGAACCCTTTAATGGGCTGGGCGTCTACGTGAGTACTTACTGAATTTGAAAATACTTTTCTTTTGTATTCAGCTCTTACTAGTCATGTAAATTTGAAATCTTCTTTCTACCTGTAAATCTAATTATGTTTTTACAGTACTTACAGTAAGTGGTTGAATTTGTTTGTTGTATGATTAATGATCTGTTAGGTTTAAAAGCAAATTTTAGCTCACAACATCATCTGGAAGAGTTTAAAAAAGGTGTTAACAACCAAAAATTTCAGCAGTTACATTTGTGGTGATGCTGTGTGGCATCAGCAGGGCCAGAAGGTTATTAGTTACCTAAAGCAATAAATCATTCTCAGCTCTCAGCTGTATCTTTTAAACATAAACGACAAAACTTAGCTTCTGGATTTATTTTTTTTTACGAAATTTTATAAATATCCTGAAGATCTAAAATGAGGAGTCATAAATAATTTAAAAAAAACCCCAAATCCAGCAATTTAAAATATCACACCAGTTTTTTAAATATTGCTAATATTAGTATTAAAAACTCTTAAATACACAAAAAAAATCTAGGAAAGTACTACTCTTAGCTCGGTATGCTGTAATGTGAAGATGTAAGTATAACTTGGATGCTTCTAATTTTTAATTCTTCTTTCCTTAAATAAACACACTACCTACATTTCACAGTGTGGTTAGAATTCCTGTTAGCTGTGAGGACTATGCCAGCAATTCCTCTGACAATATTGTAATTTTGATTTGAAGCTGTCTTTTTTTGAGGCATATTCAGAATAGTTAATTATTATACATTACCAAGATCAACCGCTAGAGATTGTTTGTAAAACTTCAGAAAGGATACAATGTGTATTGAAAATAACTGGCTGCAATCATATTAGCACTTATGATCTAAGAGTGTAAAATTCTGTGGAAAACTTTAACGCCTTAACTATGAAATAACTTGAAGATGCATTTTTTTGAGATTCTTTAACACCGAATTTTTTCCTTTTTATTTATAAAATAAATGTATCCATAAATATTAGATCAAAATAACTGTGAAATCAAGTCTTCCTGTTACATTGATTTCTCATAAAAATTTGAGGAGACTCTACATGCATTTTTATTTTGGAGTAGGGAAAGGAATTTCTCATGTGTAGGCAAGCTCCCAGTAGATAAAAGCATCGAGAATTGACACTACTAGGTTAAAGGTTTTGTAAATTAGTTTGTATCCATTCATTTTTAAGGCATTCTTGCAAAAACTGTTAGTGGATACTCCGATGTTACCATTCAACACCCAGAAATACCTAAGAAGAATTTCTTCTTTTGAGATTTAATTTCTGCAAATAGCAATTCTTAGACACTTTTCCATTTACTTTTGAATAATATAATGGGATTAGTGGATTAGAGCCCTTTAGGGTCTAGAGATTAAAGCCCCTTTTCCACTAAACTCGATATACTTATTTACCTGTCTGTCTCTTATATTTCTGTCATGTTACAGTCTTCTTTGGGGTTTTTGTTGTATTTGTTGTTTCTCGGATACTGGGGCTTTTCTTGGTGAAAATTGTCCAGTTGTATATCTAAGCATGGACCCATGTAATTTTTCCTTAATTGGGAGGTTTTGTTACAAGAATGTGTAGTTCTCTAGTACACCTTTTAATATAAAGCTGTAAACAAAGAAACATGGGAAGTGCATGGTATCCATTGTACAAGATCTCATAAGAGAACAAAATATGGAATCCCAGTTTTTAATGCCTGCAGCACTGGTACTGCTGACACTATTGGGACATCATGCCAGACATCCTGAACTCCAGTTTGCTCATATGGACAGAGGAAATCAGTAATGCATTTAGATGGAATCAAAGATGATTTCACATGAAAAGAGAACAAATAATTTCTGCACTATTCTAATTTCCCAACTGCCTCTGTCCTGGAATTGCCAAATTTGCAGTCAAATTTGCAGAACAGGCACTGGTCCCTCACTACACTTCAAACTTAAAACTTCTTTGTTCCCACTTAGTAGTATTGAGAAGATTTTTCCAAAACCAGAAAGAATAATGATTAGCAAAAGTTGTCACAATCTTGCAATGTACTTGGGCCGCTTGATTCTCCACTGATCATGTTATGAATGAATTCTTAGTTCCTAGGGGTTTTTTCTGCCTTTATAAGAGAAATCTTTAAATGTCTTTAGTAGAGCCTATCACAGTGGCTTGCAAAAGTGTAATTTCTGCCTTTATTGTATTTTGTTTATTTGTTTGTTGTGGAGTTTTGGGGGGAGGTTGGGGGTTTTTTGGGGTTGGTTTTTTTTGGTTTTTTGTTTGGTTTGGTTTGGTTTGGTTTTGGGGGGTTTTTTTTGTTTGTTTTTGTTTTTTTATTGGAGAATATATTGGATATGTAGTGAACTCCGTTTTTCCATGTGAACATCAGATAAAATTGCACTGTTGTCTTTGCTGGAAGCTAGATTTCCCCCTCTTCCCCTCCCACTCCGCCAGTCACAGGCTTTGTCCTTTATTGTAGAGAATTCAATGTATCTTTGGTTGCTTTTTTTCTTCATTTATCCTTCTAGCTTCAAAGAGAGAACAGTTGAGAGCCAGGTCCTGCAATAGTTTGTTGCAATTTGGTCTTGTCATCCCAGTTGTCTCCCAGGCTCATAGGGAGTGTTGTCTCAGGGAAGCTTTATCTAATCTTTGTGTTGCTACAACCAGTATTTCATTTTCTTATTTCTTTAAAAGTTAAAATCCTTTTTTCCCCATCCTTTGTCATTGTTCTTAAATTGAGCATTCATAGCAACAAAAAGGCAGTTTAGTGTTTTAACTGAGATTTTAATTTGTTTCAAAAAGCTTTTTGCTGTTTGATTCCTTTCAAAAGTGCAGATGAAGAATAGTTGGTCATCTAAAACTAACCACTGTGTATTTAGTTAACTAGCAGTTTGCATTTTGGAGCTTCATTTTTGGTGGCAGCCTGTGATCTGCTTGCTGTACTGAAATAATTTGTGGAGGTCATGTGAACTCAGCCAAAGCAGAACTGTTAATACTTTTTTATGTCTTTTTCAGTCTCTGATTAGTTCCTGCTCTGCTCATTTCAGTATTTTGCTCTTTTCTCTTTGAGATTATTCTTCCCCTAGCTACTCTACAGACTCTTGGTCTGTTTGAAATGTTCAGAATTACCTTAAGCCTCCTGATCTTCCACAAAGAGCTTTAAAATTAAAAAGATTGTGTCAGAGCATTTATAACCACAGAAAGTCATTAGATATGTTTATCTAACAAAAAACCTGATGAATTTTTGCAAATAGTTGTGGGGAGTGTTCACCAGACTAAAGGAGTGAAACAATACTCTGCAGAAAGTAAGTGTTGATCCTGAAAATAATTAAAAATAAAAGTATTTTGAAAGGTTTGTGAGCTTGTGTACTAGAGAGTTGTGCAATATAGCATTTGACTGACTTTTGAGGTACAGATATAATTATTTTCTATTTCAAATATGCCTAAAATTTGTCATCTGATTTCTTACAGAGCTGATCCTTTATCCAACATGGTTCTTACTTTCGCTACTAAAGAAGATGCCATTGCTTTTGCTGAAAAAAATGGTACGTATTGTATGTACTGGATATGAAGGATTCATCTTTCTATAGGCAGTCTTGATCTCTAAGTATTGACAACAGAAAAAGTACAGATAAAGTACCTTAATCCTCTGTTCCACAGGATTTGTAGACCACTAGTGTTCTGCATGAGGAGGAGGAAAACAGGAATGGGGGCATATTTCCAAGGGTGCTGAAGGCATTCCACTTTCTGGAAAGGTGTTCCAACCTCTTAGGGAAACTTGTGAATGTTTGATAATCAGAAAAACTAAAATTAGATGACTACCAAGTAAGCATGTTGGACTTCAATTTTGACTGAATTGTAGCATAAATTTAGGAACATGTCAGGATTATGCTGCTCCTCACAGGACTATGTAAAGGTAAACCATATGACTAAGAGCATTGTCCAGATGTGCCTTGAACTCTGACAGGCTTGGTGTCCTGGTCACTTTCCTGGGGAGCCTGTTCCAATGACCCGCCACTGTTTAAGTGAATAATCTTTTCCTGATGTTGAGTCTGAATTTCCCCAGATGGAGCTTCATTCCATTCTTCATGTCCTGTTGCTGGTCACCAGGGAAAGATCAGCACACTCCCTCTGCTGCTACCCATGAGGAAGTTGTAGCTTGGGGATGTTTTGCCTAACTTTTCCCAGCACTACAATCTAAACACTTGCACTTGATGATTGTTCATGTTTGAGAAAAAGAGAGTAGAATAGCCAGTGTTGTTGCTTAATATTTTTTAAGCTAATGATGTATCAGAACGAATGTATCTGTAAACTTATTTAGTTACTTAGGCTTGTATTTTCTCACAGAATGATAGTACCACAAGCAGTATCCATAATCTCAGCCTTTTGAATATTCAGCAGCCCTTTTTTGTGTTGGCATAAATTTTGTGCTGCTCTTTTTTTTCTCTTTTTTTTCCTTTTTCTTTTCTTTTTTTTTTTTGAGTTTTTTTGTTGTTGTTGTTTTGGTTTGGTTTTTGGTTTTTAAATCAGTTCCATTTTCCTTAAAGAGTTAGTCTTGATGCTTAGTGCCTGTGGGTGTGAAGAAAATTAATTACACTGAGTTAAAGCCAGGAATAATGCACATGAAGGATAAGCTTCTTCAAAAGTCTTCTTTGTGGTCTCCAGCTTTCAACTGTGTTTAGTCTGGGGTAAATAGTAAAGTTTCTTGGTCAGACAAAATTATGCAGAATTATTAGATGGCTAGTGTACACCCAAACCCATGGTGAGTCCATTAACTTATACATCTAAGAAACTAGGACATTTAATGTGCAATTTATTTGCACTTTTTAATGGTAAAGGCTAGTAAGGCTAGTATTTAATCTGTCAATTCCTCTTTGAATTGATTTCTTGAGGGGGGCTTAATAATCTTAATTTTATTGAAAAATAATTTGTATTCAAAAAGAAATTAATAGGGTTATCATATTTGCATTAGATATACAAATTAGAGTGCAATTTTATTAGTATTTTGTATTGTTTTATGAACAAATATGAGTTTTGGGAGAATTTGGTATTGCTTCATTAATGCTGCTGTATTGTTCGTGTTATTTCTTGAGCAATTCAGCCTGTAAGAGAAAAAAATAATATAATGAGCTGCTTATGCCATCTCTTTGCAGGTGTTATATTTTTTCCTTTCAAAATGCAGATTGTAAAATTCATTTGTTCCACATAGAAAGTTTATGCTTTCACTGAGTTACAAATTACTCCATTGTGTATGAAACCTACAAAAAAATTCTACCAACTCTATCAAGGTTATGACTTGGTGTTAATATTAGTAGTTAATTATTCACTTAGCTTGCACTCTTAATTTTACCATAATTGAGATGGACTTTTCTGTAGATATTGGCTTGCCTAAATTATGAATTTAAAATTATTTTAAGTTATGGTTTTATTAGATACTGACTTGCCTAAATTATGATCTTATTTTTATTTATGCATATGATGTAAGCATAATATTTTCTGTAGTGACAGCTTCAATATCAGATGTAGCTGGAAATACAAATTTTACAATATTTAGTTCTGCTTTTAGAAAGAAATTAGAAATTCAGGCATGCTTTTACACTGGAATTTAGCTTCTTAAGTGAGTTATTGTTGAAACAAATCTAAGCCTAGGAACACAGATACTTACCTCTCTCTCGTTCTTGCATGAACCTCCCAAATTTTCCCTTACAAAATTCCTTAAGAACACTAATTTCTGCAAATTCTAGATATTGCAGGTTCTTTTGATAGATTGGTAAACTTAAAAGTTCCTTCTCACTTGAGAACTTCAGGAGCATAAGGCAGGCTATCTTTCTGCCTGCCCCATCTGACACATTTTCTAATGTTGATATAACAGCACTGGTTACAGTAACAGAGATCAGTGTCCAAAAATTACAGCTGAGGATGGTCTAAGGTCAAGGCAAGGAGATAACACTTTTAACTGGATGAAATCAAAGTTTTGCCTCTTGACCTAAATTCTTTTTTGTCCTTTCTGACATCACTGAGGCAGCTGTTTAAAAACATACAACTTAAGTAACAAGGATGAAGAGTTTTCCTACTGTGCAATAACCTTTAGTCAAGTGGTGAGGGTGTTCTTCCAGAGACTGTGAAATCTGCTTTCTGTCTACTTGGCTTGTGTGGCAGGGTTCTGGGCAAGAATAGCTTCCCCCACCATTATGGTATTTTTATAAAAGTGACCTCTGCACTCGGTCACGAGCAATTCAAGGTGCCTGACTGAAGGAGTCTGTTCCCAAGTGTGAAACCTAATCACATATGGTGGCCCCTTGGAATCATTAGTTAGATGTAACTACCCTTACGCATTTTGGATAACTGTGTCAGTCCAAGTTGTTGTGCTGGCAGTTGTGAATCTCTTCTAGAGGCACTTGGCCCCTCTCCATCTAGAGTATAAAAAGATGAAGCAATACCTTGGGGCTGTAGATTCCATTCCAGCAGCCAAGTGCCTCAGTGTTAGGTGTTACAATGCTGAATGTTGCAATACTGAAGTCTGTCTCTGGATCTGGTTCTGGCTGTTTACTCAAGCTTATATTTTTAATGAGAACAGGAGACAAAAGCCAGTGTTCTCAGAGATGGAAAGAATATGCTTTTAAATTCTCTCTTCAGTATTTCTTATGGAGAATAGTTAAGTTGAAATTTAACATTGATTGAGACTAATAAACAGGAAGAAAATGTTTGTGTAATGTTTGTGAATATATAAAATTGATACAGTGATATGACAACTTGTGTATCTTACGGAACATTGTGATGTTTAGGTGTATCTTGAGTGTTTCTGTGATCACCTTACATAGAGAAATTCAGATATATGTTAAACATTTTAGGACTTAAAGTTTTGGGTTTAAAACTAAGGAAGAAAAGTACTATATTATCAGTATCACTTAAAACTGCATATTTAACCACTTCTGTCTTCAACTCAAGTATCTCTACTTTGAGTGAAATATTGCAGCTAAAGAGACCAAACTTTGGAATACTGAGTGCTGCCCTGGCAACTTTCCAGGCACCTGGAGGCTGCAACCAATTTGCATTTTGATTTACATAAACACTAATGTCTCCACCTCCTCTTTTCTGACATTTTTAAGCATTTCTCTTGCTTAACTATCACATAATTTACTTGTCTTCTATCACTTCATTCTCTTTTCTTTATTCCTAATTTTTTATGTTCTTACAAAAATGTTAAGTATTAAACTCCTTTCTAAAGTTAAAGTTTTTTCTCCACTCTTCTTTTTTTTTTTTTTTTTTTTAGTCTTCTCACCCTTCTTTTTTTTCTAGCTTTCCAAAATCTCCATTCTCTCCCAGCCTTTGGGGATGATCTTCTGCATGTTATTTTTTGTCAATTTTAAATTTTTCATTTCCTGTGCCAACATACGCAGAGCCTTATTGCTTCTGTGATGCTATAGAGCTGTGGAACTATAAACTTGCAGGACAGTCTGTGTTCTCTGTTGAGCTTTTCACTGATGACTGTCAAGTTTTTTGCATTTCACTGTAGTATGGTGAAGTCTTATCAACTGAGAGAGTAGGCATCTGCCACATGTGTGGCATTTCAGTATTCTCTTCTGCCAGCTAGAAAGGAATAGGTTAGTGGATGTCTATGTGGAGAAAAAGATATTAAAGTTAAAAGCTTTAAGTTGCATTTGCTCTGTATTGTATGCTAAGAATATTTATAATTCTAACTGTTTCTTATCTCCTTCTGCTATACCCTTGTAACATCCAGGCTGGAGTTATGATGTTGAAGAGAAGAAGATTCCAAAACCTAAATCCAAGTCTTATGGTGCAAACTTTTCTTGGAACAAAAGAACAAGAGTGTCTACAAAATAGGTTGGCATTGGCTGTATGACTGTGAATAAAGTCAGCTGTGCTATATTTATAGTCCATGTATAATACATCTCTTAATCTCCTAATAAATTTGACCTTTAAACTACAGATGCATCTTCTGATGTCTATTTAAAATGTTTTTGATGTCTCCAATTGAACCTGTTACAAACTTCCCTATAAATAGAGGAGATTTGGAGTGTTCATACTTCTAAAAAATTACTGTACTAGGAATCTCTCAAAAGAAATGTTTGAAATCAGCTGCAACTTTAGAGATTATGGTTGATCTTTGACGGTAATTTTTTGTCCACTATCCTGTTTAAACTTCTGAAGTGTAATAAGTTCAATAAGCTTTACATATACAAGTTCTTTCAAGAGAAGTGAGGTTTTTTTGTCTCTGTACATGACAATTTTGTCAGTTGAATAACAAAGGATGGGTATAGAAGATGGATAATTCTGTATAAATGTATATGATATAACCTCCTTTCTGCTCAAATTAATACTGTCAACATTCCAGAAGCATTCATGGCTGGAATAGAAAATGTAGGATTTTAGTTTCAATATGGGGGAGGTTTAGTCTGAAAAACTGAGATTGCAGTTGTTTCTCTGTGATGTTCTTGAAAAGTGCAACTAAGGCAGTTAAACATTCACAAATGGAGTCAGAAGTCAGAATAGTGTCAGGTGCCTCATACAGTATCAGCATATACTAATTACATAATTATAGTTCTGGGTTTTTTATTGCTTGTTACATGTTTATCTGCATTGAGGTTTCCTGTTGCTTAACAGAAGATGTGGTGATAGCATCTCAGCCTTAACATCAAGTATATGTTCTAAGCTCCGTTTGTCTTACATGACACTAAATTAGTAATTTTTTAAAGTACAGTGTTACATTTGGAATTCTTGGTTACGTATCTATGGCTGTTGCTTTATTCATTTAACAAATTACGGGTATTGACTCATGATCAGTGAAATATGTTACAAATTGGGGGAGGAAACACCTTTTTCCTATGCAACTGAGAGTTTTATCTCAACTGTCACCACAGATACAGTTGAGACAGGCCTTTCCACATAGGCCTGTATAACAGTGTGAGGGCTGTGCACTGAATTTTGGCTAAAAGAAGGCATAAAATTATGTTGTGTTGCCCAGATTATATTATATTATATAACATCTATTCTTGTTTCATTTTTAACCAGCTACCTTATATGCTGGTTAACATTAGTTTAAACCATTGATTTTGACCCAGTTTCAGGGTAATCAACCAGATGAATGAAGTCGCTATTTTCCTATCACAAACAAGAACTGTAATTCTAATTCAGCTTCTATTGAATTTTGAATGTTGCATTGTGCAGTAGGGCCTGAAGTCCTCCAGGAACACCCAAGTGCACCAAACTGGAATCTTAACAAGCCAGAAGATACTGCATCTTTATGTATTCTAGTTAAGCTTAATACACTGATCCTACTAAGGAGACACTAATAAGAAAAGTAATTCTTTTTTTTTTTTTTGTCTTCCATCTTTTCCAAGTAAAGAGCAGCAAGATCTTAATTTAATGGTCTTCAAACTTTATCAGATTGTCAAAATGAGAAGTCCATAGACATCTAATGCAGCAGAGACACAGCTTGGTTTTTGAAATTACAAAGTCCAGCGAAATGAGTGATAAATGTTAGACACCTAACATTATCTTTGGACACCGAACACATGAAATTGCTTTCTAAGTAAGAAAGTTTTTTATTTGGGTTTTTTTTTTTTAGATGTGTAAGTTCATTATGATTCTGTATTGTGCATGCCACTTCGAAGTCTTCAAGTTGTGTTTGAGCCCAGACCTTCTTTTCCTTTGATCATTTTCCTAGGACTTGAATTTTTTCAACCTGTTGGATGTTTTCTTAAGGATGACCCTGGTAACAGTGGAATAGAGTTGATTATTGTCACTACAGTCTTCAAACCCTAGAAGTGATACTGAGGGCAAGAGCTTGGAGAGGACCAGTGCCAGCAGGAATATATTAGAGATAAAAAAATCTAAAAACCTAAACTTCTTACCCTTTCAGTAATTTACCAGATTATTACAACTGTAGGCGGGGACTGAAATTTTACAAGATTATCTGACCGTCTTTAGTTAACTACCTTCAGAAGTGAATGTTTTATAGATGAACTCCACCTTCTGTGTACTCTGCAATGTGTTGTGACAGGTAAAATTGCTCCCGAATCTCAAATGTGTCAAAACAAAAGGCACAACAGGTAAACTACCATAATTGGTTGGTTGTGATGAGTGAGGTTAGAAATTCATCTTGGTAGTAGATGTAGTTATGTTGTTTCCAGCTAATCCAGGCTTTTCATAGAAGTAATATTTGAAACCTGTACAAAAATCATTACTGGGTAAAGAAAAAGTGTAAAGCTCCCAAATAAACAGAATATATTCTTTACCCAGTGGGATTTGCTTGTACCTCAGGTGTCTTTCCACCTTACATGGCAATAACAATGCAAAGAGTATTAAATTTGCATGCCAGCATTGCAGAATAATGTACCATAGATGTTAGATTTACATTTCTGCATTGAGCTGCGTAGAATTGAGATGTTTTCTTTACAATCTTGTAGTTTCCATTGTTGTGGAAAGCCCTGTGCAAAAATGGGCTGATGTGAAGTATTTTATGCTTGAGATATCGGAGGCAGAACTGCGCTGCTGGACACAGTCCCTTCCCAGTTCTAGCAAATTAGTCCACAGAATCACCAGTTTTTGGAGAAGGCTTATTATCTGTCGTTGCTGTCTCAACCAGCTACATGTCATAATGAGTTTTGAATTATTTCTGTCAACGCTTTGTGCAAGTTCCTTCTTTTAAGAAAGAAGCAGCAGCATAATATTTTTCTTCCCATATATACTACTTTCATTGCCATTAACTCTTCAAGGTATGTGGCATATAGTTTTTTTTTTCTTAAAATCTCTCTTGTCTACTTGAAATTTTCATACATGAGTTTTGAAAGGTTGGCGACTCCCAGTATTATAATTTCTCTGTAAAACCAAGAACATTTTGGTGAAATTTTAACTTACTAATAAACTGCAGTTTCTTTATTTTACCCAGCATTTGCATTTCCACCTTCTTGACACTTTTTCTCCAAGTTCCATGCAAAGAATTCTGTTCCGTTAAATATACACCTGTTTACATCAATTCAGTGATGAGCCACAGCAACACAAAACCAAAACCATCCCTGTTTAGCTGTCTTCTGAATGCTCAGAATGGTCCTAATCTTTATGGCATGTCTTTTAGCTCAGTCAAATTGAAATACTAAAAGTAAATTCTCCCTGTTCTATTGCTGACTACAGTTAACAATACCTATACTACAGTATAAGACTCCCTACAAAATATGGGTGCATAACTGCAAGTACTTCGATATATTTTGCTTAGTTCTGATGTAATATAATAACGTTTGCGGGATGCCTAATTATTTTAAAGATTGGCAGCATTTATAATTCCAGTGAACTAACTATATTTTTATTAAAACAAAGGCCCTACAATTCTTAAGTTCTTAAAATCATGATGCTGTAATGGAACCTAAAGACTGTAAGGAATCTAAAAGCACGGTTTCAGATTTCTAGCAGTTATTCCTTAACTTTTCAGTTTGTTGCATAATATAAAACAAATTCGACTGTTAATGGATACTATGAAGTGGCGAATTTAATCATCCATATCTGCAGAGTTTGCTATGTGGTAGGAAATGAGAAGCTAACTTGGACTGTTTTTAGCTTTTGCCTGTAATTTTACACCAGGAACTTGTGTAGTTTTGTTTTGCCAGACAGAGTTATCTGACTATGTTTGGTTACTGGGGATGCCAACATACCTTGTTATTCCAAAAAGAAAAAAAGGTGCAAATAAAGAAACCTGAAACAACCTAAGAACATAATTTTAAACAGCTAAGTTATTGTGTGTCTGGTAAGGCAACTTGCTTTGATAAGTCCTTTTTCTCATTCCTGCATTCTGAGTGGGATTTATATTTAATTGGTGTTTGATTAATGCTGGAGTGTATCACCAACATCACAAGATTGTGAATACAACAACTTAATATCAAAAACAAAGAGGTAAATAATTTTGAAATTATATCAAAATGTGGGTTTCAGTGGATGTAAAGTACTGATTCTTCATATCCACGTTCATCATGAAGGAAGGTAGAAAGGCCCCTGTCATGAATGCTTCCTGCACAGAAAATGTGAAGTAGCACCTTTTTGGACAAGTTGATTAGAATAAATGCAAAAGTCAGTAGTCTTGTGAGAGTCCTGAAAGAATTAAAATTTGAAACTGTGTAACTATTATTTGTGGCATAGGCATTTTGCTTAAAACCCTCTCATCTGAATACGAGGTGACAGGTTTTCATTTTTTGGTTTAGTGGGTTTTCTGTCATTTCTCCCCACACCTCCAAGATCTCTCTAAATAGTGCTGTGAACAGGTAAGGTGTAAAAACTATGTATCAATTTGGCTATTTTAGATGGTACTTATTTTCACATTCTTCATAGGATTTGGTGATTATGGGGACAAGGTGATTCAAGTAGTCCATTTGGATTTACAGAGGGTTTTCAAAAAGGTCTCTTATGAAGTTACATAGAAAGGCAACAGCACACCTAAAGACATAGGTAACTTTAGATTTAGGAGCAAATCTGTAGTGTGGAGGAGAGAGAATTGAGGATTAGTATGGGTGGCCTCTGAAATTATAAGTAATCCAGAGAATAGTATGTAATTGTTCAGTTTTTTAAATAAGCAGATTAACAAACTCATGAGAATGCAGTTTAAAAACAAATCAGTATATTTTCACACAACAGATTTTGAAATTCATTGGCAACATTTTGGCTACCAAAATAACTTTGCAGTAGCTCAAATTCAACACAAGAAATGCAGGCAATTAAAGTTTGCATTAAATATAAAATAGTATTGTGTTTAGAAAAATTCCTGAGCTAAAGGCTGCTGACAGCTGGGAAAGGGTATCCCTGATTTTATGTTCTTTCTTTGTCAGTCACTATCAGCCACTGCCAAAGCTGGGTTTGTTCAGGTGGATATCCTGATCTGGCACAGAATGGCTGCTCTTTGTAGTATATGCCAGTATGGCATTCCAACATTGCATGCTATTGTG